TGTTTAACGGCATTTTTTGTCTCGGTACGGGTTGCGCTGACTGACTGACTGTATGTATGTAGAGTGCAGGCCACCTATATAACACGGGGCAAGCATCATGGTAGCTGGGCGGCGTGCAGGAGCACGTGTTTGGAGCACGTGCCGAGCTCAGCCGGTGAACTTATGCCGCGTAACGCGGTAGCTGTCGTTATTTTAATCGTTTTTTTTTTCGAGAAGTTAAAACGTTTGTCAGCCCGCGGTGGCTCGCCTAGCAACGAAGACCTACCGCATCGTTCGTGCGTACACGGGAGTAGAGACAGACAGTACTGTAGACTGTAGCACGTACAAGGTAGGAGAGACAGACAGTACTGTAGCACGTACAAGGTAGGAGAGACAGACAGTACTGTAGCACGTACAAGGTAGGAGAGACAGACAGTACTGTAGACTGTAGCACGTACAAGGTAGGAGAGACAGACAGTACTGTAGACTGTAGCACGTACAAGGTAGGAGAGACAGACAGTACTGTAGACTGTAGGGCAGCGTACAAGGAGGAGAGAAGCAGCACAGTACTGTAGACTGTAGGCACGTACAAAGGTAGGAGAGACAGACTGTGAACAGTACTGTAGAACTGTAGCAGCGTACAAGGTAGGAGAGAGCAAAGACAAGTACTGTAGACTGTAAGCACGTACAAGGTAGGAGAGACAGAGCAGTACTGTAGAACTGTAGCCACGTAGCAGGTTAGGAGAGACAGACAGTACTGTAAGACTGTAGCACGTACAAGGTGAGGGAGACAGACAGTACTGTAGAACTGTAGCACGTAACAAGGTAGAGAGACAGACAGTAACTTGTAGACTGTAGGCAGCGTAGCAAGGGTAAGGAGAGACGACAGTAGTGTAGACTGTAGGCAGCGTACAAGGTAGGGAGAGACAGACAGTACTGTAGACTGTAGCACGTAAAGGTAGAGAAGACAGAACAGTACTTGTAGACTGTAGCTACGGTACATTAGCGTAGGCAGGACACCAGACCAGTACTGTAGACTGTAGGCACGTACACGTAGGAGAGACAGATCAGTACTAGTAAGACTGTAGCACGTACAGAGGAGGAGAGACAGACAGTACTGTAGAACTGTACATGCAACTAAGCAAGTAGGAGAGAGCAGACAGTACTGTAGACATGTAGCACGTACAGAGGTAGGAGAGAACACGAACACAGTACTGTAAGACTGTAGCACGTACAAGGTAGGAGAGACAGACAGGTAACTGTAGCACGTACAAAAGGTAGGAGACACAGAGCAGTACTGTACGACTGTAGCAGCGTACAAGGTAGGAGACAGCAGAGCAGTACTGTAGAACATGTAGCACGTACAAGGTAGGAGAGACAGACCGTACTGTAGAACTGTAGGCCACGTACAAGGTAGGAGAGACAGACAGTAACTGTAGACTGTAGCACGTACAAGGTAGAGAGACAGTACTGTGACTGTAAGCGCGTACAAGGTTAGGAGTAGACAGAAGTACCCACTGTAGACTTGTAGCAGCGTACAAGGTAAGGAACGAGACCAGACAGTACTGTAGACTGTGGCACGTACGAGAGGTAGGAGAGACGAGCAGTACTGTAGCACGTAAAGCGTAGAGAGAGACAGACAGTTACTGTAAGACTGTAGCACGTACAAGGTAGGAGAGCAACAGACAGTACTGTAGGACTGTAAAGCAAGCGTAACAAGGGTTAGGAAGAGACAGCACGTACTGTTAGACTGTACAGCGTACAACAGGGTAGGAGAGACCGAGACAGTACTGTAGACTGTAGCACCGTAACAAGGTAGGAGAGACAGACCGTACCTGTAAAAGACTGTAGCACAGCTAACAAGGTAGGAGAGACAGACAGTCTGTAGACTGTAGCAACGTACAAGTAGGAAGAGACAGACAGTTACTGTAGACTGTAGCGCGTACGAAACAGCCTCGCTGTATAATTAGTATTCATTGGGCATGCATGTGTAGGTGCACGCAGACACTCATCTTGTTAGTGATGCTTATTAGGCACACACCCACTAGGGTTCCCTCAACCTGTTTGAATTTAAAACTACACGCTATTGCCGTCGCCTGACCATTGTAGCCCGGGGTCAATGGCTGGTGTTAAGCTAAATGTCACTTTCATCGTCTAATCTGGCTCGGCGTAATGTGAGGCGTTATTTGGCTGTCGGCCGGGATTAGTATGATTTCGGGTGCTTGCTGCGGCTGACAGAGAGACGGTTCATTCGCGGTTGCTGCCAGTGCTGGGTCTCTCTCTCATCGGCGCGCGTCATCTCTCTGCTCTCTCTCTCTCTCTCATCTCTCTGACTCTCTCTCTCTCTCTCTCATCTCTCTCTCTCTGC